CTTCTTCCAATTTATTTGTACAGGAGACACCAAAGTTTTCTCCATTTAGTTTCCTTCCATTGTCTTCCTCAGATAAGCTCACTACACAAGTCTTGATTTCATGGTAGCTTCTTTTTATAGTCTGGAAGAAGATCAAGATCAAGATTATTGCAGGCCACCTAAGCTTTCTCTCTCTCTCTCTCTCTCTCTCTCTCTCTCTCGACAGGCAGAGTTAGACAGTGAGAGACAGAGAGAGAGTTATAGACAGTGAGAAAGGTCTTCCTTCTGTTGGTTCACTCCCCTGATGGCCGCTACTGCCAGCGCTGCGCTGATCCGAAGCCAGGAGCCGGGTGCTTCCTCCCAGTCTCCCATGCAGGTGCAGGGCCCAAGCACTTGGGCCGTCCTCCACTGCCCTCCCGGGCCACAGCAGAGAGCTGCACTGGAAGAGGAGCAACCGGGACAGAATCCGGCGACCCAACTGGGACTAGAACCCGGTGTGCAGGCGCCGCAGGTGGAGGATTAGCAGAGGATTAGCTAGTGAGCCGGGGCGCCGGCCTCAGCTTTCTCTTTGGTTTGCCTCTACTGCTCTAGAAATAAAGAAAAAAGGAGATGTGCCGGCCGCAGTGGCCATTGGGGGGTGAACCATTGGAAAAAGGAAGACCTTTCTCTCTGTCTCTCTCTCACTGTCCACTCTGCCTGTCAAAAAAAAAAAAAAAAAAAAAAAAAGGAAGGAAGGGAAAGAGAGAGGGAAGGAGGGAAGGAGAGAGGAATGAAGTATGGACAGATGGGCTTCAGATATACTTGTAACCTGATTTTTACTTCAGGAGCTGGTGCTGTGGCATAGCAGGTAAAGCCACCGCTTGCCAGGCCGGCATCCCATATGGATGCCAGTTTGAGTCCTGGCTGCCCCACTTCTGATCCAGCTTTCTACTGTGGCCTGGGAAATAGTAGAAGAAGGCCCAAGTCCTTGGGCTCCTGCCTCCACATGGGGAAACGTCCCCTCTTGGGGAACTTTCCATGTGGGAGACCTGGAAGAAGCTCCTGGCTCCTGCCTTTGGATCTGCCAGGGGCCGGCTGTTGGCCATCTGGGGAGAGAACTGCCTCTGCCTCTGGTTCTGCCTCTCTGTAACTCTGCCTTTCAAATAAAAACAAAGCGTCTACTTTCTACAAAGCTTTCTCTAGATTGATTATTGAAAACTTAAAGTTAATTATCTTTTCCTGTCTCATTTGCATGATATTCCCAAGTTGTAATCTCTCCAATATCATATCCAATTATATACTTACTCTTGCCTTAATTGAAATGCATTTAATGTCACATAATTAGAAGTTGGAGGGGAGCTTAGGAATACAATACAAACCCTTAGTTAAATGCCAGATGAGCACATTAATATATCTGTGCTGCTTATCCAAACTCCTGTAAAATGCACATGCTCAAAATATGTAAATGCTCAGAGACAAAGGAAACTGGGTAAGAAGGTGACAGAGACCACATTTCAGAAGTTGTGAAGCAGATGGTCGAGTGGAAGCTGATGCAGCAGAGTGGTGACCATTAACCTGGTAATAAGGGAAGCCCCTGGCAAGCCAATTCCTAGAATCCCAGGAATTCCTAGATATCTCTGAAAGGGGCAGAGTGGCTAAGACAAAAACAAAACAAGACATGGCTAAGAACAGGGATACTGTTCTAGATGAAAGTCAGTGTTTATTTGATGGTGACATCCCAATTCCCTTCACCATCTCAGCTCTGAGAATGCTGGCAACCAGGCTCACCCTCTTCAACCCACAAGCACCTGCACAGTGCCTCTTGGCGAAACTTTCCAACCTAAGGGAGGGAAACCAGAAAGCCTGCTTAGATCATCCTACACTGGCCAGCCCAGTCTTGTCACCGCCTCACCCCTGCTATGGTCTCAATGTTCCTTTCTTATGTGTACTTTTTAGATTTTATTCTATTGTAGTAAGAGCATTTAACATTGGATCTACTCTCTCAACAATTTTTAAGGGTACAAAGCATCTTAATTAAATGCAGGTACAGGGTTGTTCAGCAGATCTCTGGAATGTATCTATCTTGTTTATCTGATACTTACATATTTTAATTCATCATTGCTCTTTAATGGACAGTCAAGGGTTACCTTGAGACAACCAAAGAATGCATACAGTGTGAAAGACAAAATGAACAAAATGGAACTCAGAGGAAATAAAGGCAAGGATGTTGGTAGGAAAACAAATTTTAAAAATCCCACCTAGGGGCCAGTGTTGTGACATAGCAAGTAAAGTTGCTACGTGTGACCCTGACATCCCATATGGGCTCCGGGTCATGCCCTGGCTGCTCCACCTCTGATCCAGCTCTCCGATAATGGCCTGGGAAAGCAGTGGAGAATGGCCCAAGTCCCTGGGCCCCTGCCAACCACATAAGAGACCTGGAAGAAGCTCTTGACCCCTGGATTTGGCCTGGGCCAGCCTCGGCCATTGCTACCATCTGGGGAGTAAACCAGCAGATGGAAGATCCCCCCCTCCCCTCCCTGTAACTCTTTCAAATCAATAAATACATCTTTATTTTAAAAAAAACAAAACTACCATCTGTTCTTGTCACTAAGATCAGATATCATATCTCCCCTCTCCGAAAAGATACGAGGCCTTAAAAAGAAACATTTAAAAGAAAAGAGACTTAGAAATTGAAAATATTTTAGTAGAAATGAAAAATTCAACAGAAGGGAGGAGAATAAGGCGAGGGGCTCTCTCTGGGGACTGAAATGATCTGTACCCACACTGCTGACTCTGTGTTTTCAAGATTTTACTCTTTTGGTCTTATCGTCATGTATAGCTTTGCTATTATTTATTTATTTATTTATTGACAGGCAGAGTGGACAGTGAGAGAGAGAGAGAGAGAGAAATGTCTTCCTTTGCCGTTGGTTCACCCTCCAATGGCCGCTGCGGCTGGTGCACTGCGCTGATCCGAAGCCAGGAGCCAGGTACTTATCCTGGTCTCCCATGGAGTGCAGGGCCCAAGCACTTGGGCCATCCTCCGCTGTACTCCCTGGCCACAGCAGAGAGCTGGCCTGGAAGAGAGGCAACCGGGACTAGAACCCGGTGTGCCGGCGCCACAAGGCAGAGGATTAGCCTAGTGAGCCGCGGCGCCGGCCCAGCTTTGCTATTTTAGGGAACTCTTTCATGGGACAGTAAAAGATGCAAATAATTTTGTTTATTCTGGTACTGCACCCCATCCATTAAAATGAACATCAGACTATTCAGTTTACCAATGCATAGCATCAAATGACAACTGGCTTCCCAACTCTTGCTGCCTGGGTCCACATAATTATTACCCTTGTCCAGTGTTGACCAAGACCTGGCAAGGAAAGACCTGCCTCCAGTGAGACTTCAAAAGTTCAGAAATATTTCTAGTTTTTCCTTCCCTCGTCTGAGAAGCTATGAAGCTCCCACTGTAGTGCCCTTCCTTACTCCAGTAAGAATAAATCTGGCTTTGTGTAATCAACAGGTTGTCTTGGTGATATTTTTGGAGGCTCAAAATCATCACCTTTCAGAAAGTATTACAAAAGAGAAGGGTAAATGGGGCGGGGGGAAATAGAATGTAGAAGATCAGGAGATGTAACATCCAAATAATAGAAATCCCAACAAAAGAAGACAGAGAAAATGGTGGGGAGAGAAATATCAAATAAATAATTCAAGCAAATCCTTCAGGAATGAAGGGGACAAATTTCCAATACAGAAGGCGGTGGGGTAGGGGGGCAGTGCTGTGGTATAGCAGTTAAAGCCACTGCCTGCAGTGCTGACATCCCATGTGGGCGCTGGTTTGAGTCCTTGCTGATCCACTTCCAATCCAGCTCTCTGTTATGGCCTGGGAAAGCAGTAGAAGATGCCCCAAGTCCTTGGGCTCCTGCACCCATGTGGGAGACTCCTGGCTCCCAGCTTCAGACTTGCCCAGCTCCTGTTGTGGCCATTTGTGGAGTGAACTAGTGGATGAAAGACTTCTCTCTCTCTCTCTCCCTCTCCCTCTCTTTCTCTCTCTCTGCCTCTGCCTCTCTGTAACTATGCCTTTCAAATAAATAAACAAAACTTAAAAAAAAAAAAAAAAAAAAGAAGGCATGAGGGATCAAAGGAGACTCCTACCAAATTTCAAAAAAATTGGGAGAAAGCGGAGGGAAGTTCTTGGCTGCCTGTAGATTAAGATTACTGCCACTAGATGGCAGTAATGCTTCAAAGGCTCCCACTCTAGGGATTTTGTTGATTATCCTTCCTCTTTCCAAAGGAGGGGCTCTTGGTTTGGTTTCTTTGTCTATTCAGGTTCAGTCCCTGAGAGGCTCTGCTACAAGGTCTCCAAGCAATCCACACGTTCTCTGTGAGGAATTGGCTCCCGTGTCTCCAAGGGGAGAAAGACTTTTAAGGGAATAGTCTCTGAATTACAACTGGCTGTTGTGGATGGATGGACTTCTTTCAGGCAGAGATTCTGCAAAACATTTATCCATTCATTCTCTCAAGTTTGTATCAATGTCTACTATATGCCACGTACTGTGCTGAGTGCCAGGAAGACCTTAGGTCCTTGGTCCTTGTCTTCTTATAGGTTAAATTATGAGGAGAGAGATATCCAATAAATAAATACATATGTAACTATATTTCTAAATTATGATAAATGGTATGAAGGAGAGAGCTAGGTCTAAGAGAAAAGGAGACCTACTAGGTCTCCCTGAGGAATGTGATGGAGGGAAGGCTAGAAGTCAGCAGACAGGGAGCGATGGGAGGTGAAGGTGATGAGGGTAGGATGTTGCTAGGCAATGAGAAGCAGGTGAATTTGGGATGTGGTGGTGGTAAACTGATAGTCTGGGGTTGCTGTCTGGATCTGGGGAGGTAGAGAGCAGGTGCACCAGGCCTGAGCCCCAGGTCTTTGGCTGGCCGGGTTGCCTTTTCTGAGGTGGAGAAGCCTGGGACAGACTGAGGTTTTGGAGGAGAGGGTGGAGAATAGACGTGAGAGTCCAGTGTGGGGAGTTTACTAACTTGCTCTTCCTCCCTAGGTATTTGGACCACCATGGACATCACTGATTCATGATGGGGATTCTCCTGACCTACTGCCTGCTAGGATGATCTTGCTCTGGCTTACTTGCTTTAAACTGGCTCACAGTTGGCATTCCTTAAGGTAAAAATTGCTGTTCTCTCAGCGCCCCTACAGAGCAATAGAATAATCAGCTTATATTGGTTATGTTTCTATTTTTCATTTGTAAAATTCATGATTAACTGCTAATATTGTACACTTTTAAAGATGCCATACAAGATCTCAACACAGGTATACAGTGTACGCTGACCAAATCAAACAGTTGGCATTTCCGTTTCCTCATATTTCGTTGTGTTTGGGGCCCACCTGCTCTTCTCTTCCCTGCTCTTCTCTTCCAGTTCTCTGTAGTGTGTATTATACATTATTGTGAACTATAGTCACCCCACTGTGTAGTGGAACACCAGAACCTATTACTTCTATCTGACTGTGCTTTGGTACCCATTATCTCGCCTCCCTGTGTCCTCCCATCCCCCGACCCTTCTCTGCTTCTAGTCACTGGTAGTGTCTTTTCTGAAGAGGGCATTTGAGAGGTAAAGAGAATGGATCAGAGCAGCTTCTGCATTTTCTTCTGGTTGTTGTTACTTGCCCGAACTGAATTCACAAGAGGCACACAGCCTCCAAGACAAAGAGATGCGGCAAAATGCAAGGCCAGTTGCTTTGGTGGATCCCCCTGAATTATGGACAGGTAAGATCCTGCGCATGATCCTGAGACAGCCGAGAGGAAAACTTCCCCTGACCCTGGAGATACAGACTGTATTGGCCTTATGATGTCCCCAACTAGTGTCTAGTGCACACTGTGACGAATTGATGCTGCTCCATCTGGATTTTTCCAGTCTTCAGACCTGAGTCGAATCATAGGACTTACAAGCACTTACATGCAAGCAGGTGAAGAGCTGCCACCTGCCAAGCTGTGTGCTGGGGGCAGGTGCTTCTCCAGGCTCATTTGGGCTTAGAACTGTATCACTGAATATGTTAGGATAGATCATACTTCTTCCTTTTCCCATACTCCCCTCCTTGGAGATATCAATGTAGTGTTAAGACAGAATTTAAAATCAACTTAGCTCTCAACATCAGTGGTTTCATTCAGGGACCTAGAGCTGAGTACTTCTTTATGTGTGCATAAACAATTTGATTGACTTTTTGCTAGCTCTCTCTGTATCTGTATTTATTTACACAATTTGGATATATATATATTTAATGATTTATTTATTTATTTGAAAGGCAGCATTACAGAGAGAGAGGGGAGACAGAGGGCAGGATCTTTCCTCTGCTCGTTCACTCCCCAAATGGCTGCAAAGGCCAGGGTTGGGCCAGGCCAAAACCAGGAGCCTGGGACTCCATTTAAGTCTCCCATAGGGGTGTCAGGGGCCCAAGCACTTGAGCCATTCTTCACTGCATTCCCAGGTGCATTAACAGGGAGCTGGATCTGAAATGGAGCAACCAGGATCTGGTGTTCATATGGGATGCCAACATTGCAGGCAGTAAAAACTCACTGCACCAAAGCACCAGCTCTGAACTGTACTTTTCTGAGGGCAAGAATTATATCTTTTTAGATATGTAAATTGTATATTTTTTTACAATTTATTTTTATTGTTAGGCAGAAGTAAATATTGTATACTCTGTGTTGTTCAACATGACGTTAATATATGTATACACAATACGATATTTTTTATTGTCTAGCAAATGAACGTATCCATATCTCCCTAATCCCCCACATCAATATTGTGTGTTTTTTTTTTTTTTTTTTTTTTAGGACAGGCAGAGTGGACAGTGAGAGAGAGAGAGACAGAGAGAAAGGTCTTTGCCGTTGGTTCACCCTCCAATGGCCGCCATGGCCGGCGCACCGCACTGATCCGATGGCAGGAGCCAGGTACTTCTCCTGGTCTCCCATGGGGTGCAGGGCCCAAGCACTTGGGCCATCCTCCACTGCACTCCCGGGCCACAGCAGAGAGCTGGCCTGGAAGAGGGGCAACCGGGACAGAATCCGGTGCCCCGACTGGGACTAGAACCCGGTGTGCGGAGGATTAGCCTAGTGAGTCGCGGCGCCGGCCCATTATTGTGTTTGTGTGTGTGTGTGTGTGTGTGTGTGGTGAGAGAACCAGAAATTACTGTCCATTTGGAACAGTGCTTTCCAACACTCGTAAAGGGAGCAGGTGGCCTGGCAGAGTTTCAGCTCCTTTATATATATATATAAAGCTAGGGCCAGCATTGTGCATCCTGTGTCTGAGTGCTGGTTTGAGTCTGACTGTTCTGCTTCTGATCCAGCTAATGTGCCTGGAAAGACAGAGGAGGATAGCCCAAGTACTTGAACCCCTGCCACCCATGTTGGGAGACAGGGAGGGAGCTGCTGGCTCCAGGCTTCAGCCTGGCCCAGACTAGGTTGTTGGTAAGACCAGGCTTACTATGCAGAAGTAGCCTCAGGACAGGGCGTCTGACTTCCTCTTCCCTTGACACTACCCCTAAGCGTTTGCCATGCTAACAAGCTGACACTCTCACAGGAAAGACCTTAACAGCCCTCGAGCAGAGCCAGTGGCTGCAGCCTGAGATCTCCACCTCCTTGTTTTCCTCCCGGTGGGTTATGCTGTTTTCGTGTTGGTGGCCTCTCTCCTGGATTTTTAGAGGACTCTGTACTTATTTATCTTTACATGTGTGAGTCTTATTTTCCTGATCCCAAGCTTATTATTTAATAAACTCTTCAGGGAAAATATGTCCAAAGTCCTATGAAAAGTCCCCCCCTTGAACTTTTACCTGAAATGGTGAGAAAAAAAGGGCAAGGCTGGACCTGGAATCTGGACTCTGTTGTAAACCCTTTGAAAGAAATGCAGATAGGGGGTTTTAAACAAACTGCAGTTCTGGGAAGCTGTTTATGTAAATAGTTTTGGTTCAAAGCTCTTGGGAATGGTAGTTTGGAAACACCATACTACATTTACACCTAAATAATACCACAACCTAAATAAATGTAAGATGTATAAAATAATTTCCCTGAATATTATTTTCCCCCAATTTGCAAGATTTTGCCCTAGTCCTGGGTTTTTCTCTCAGAAATTATAACTGCTTGATAATATAATCAGTTAAGAGGATAGAGCAAAAGGATTAAATACTAAAAAGGAAATGGCAAAATGTCATTATTTGTACTTGATGTTATCCTATAACTAGGAAACCTACAGGAATCAACTTAACATTTACTAGAAATAACAGGAGCATTCATTCAGGCAGACATCACAAATAAATGCATAAAAATCACCAGTATTACGTTCCAGCCAAAACCTGCTGAAAAATATCACAGGTATAACCACAAATCAAAACAGTAAACAGCAAACACTAACAGGAAGTATTCATGACCCAGATAAATCAGAATACAAAATCTAAGAGAGGGTGAGAAAAGCCATCATCAGAAGATTACATTCTATATCAGTAAATCAGTCTGCTAATCTATGGTTTCAATGAGATACCAGAAAAAAAAAAAAAAAAAAAAAACACAACTAGATTATTTTATTTTATAACCTGACTTGCTTTTAGTCAAACTGGGGGAATAATTATATGAAATTGACCAGAACAAAGAATTTAATTTTTAAGGAAAGACTTGGCTGTGATAGCCAGCTGCAAGCTGACCCCCAAAGACCTCTGCCTCCTGGTTTTCACACCCTTGTGTAATCTCTACCCACACTGTACCAAGGTAAGGTTGCCAGATAAACCATAAAATGTTGGTTAAATTTGAGCTTCAGATGCACAAGGCCGTGGTGGGCATTTGGTGAAGCAGTCAAGATGTCACTCGGGATGGATGCATCCTGTATCGGAGGGCCTGGGTTTGAGTCCTGGCTCTGTTTCCAATTCCAGCTTCCTGCTAATGTGCACCCTAGGAAGCAGCAGGTGATGGTTCAAGTTGTTGGGTCCCTGACACCTATGTTGGAGATCTGGATGAAGTGCTTGGGTCTGGCTTCACCCTGGTCCTACCTGAGCTGATTCAAGCATCTGGGGAGTAAACCAGCAGCTAGAAGATGTGATGTGTGTGTGTGTGTGTGTGTGTGTGTGTCACTCTGCCTTTCAAGTAAACAAAAATAAAATAATGTTGATAAACAATACCTAGGGTTCTGCATTTCTCACAAGCTCCTGGATGACATCTGTGTGAACATGCCTTATCCCTGCACAACATGCCCATCCAGATGGATTTAACTCAGAATTGTAAGTTCAGTCTCAGTGCTAATTAAGAAGATTGGAGTCACAGGAAAGAGAAAAGGGATGTTAGAGTTATTTTAAAATGTATTATGCTTTGGCAGCTCTGTGGTAAAATTTTTAAGAAGTAATCCATTGAAAAAACTATAGAGCTTTGTTGCTGGTTGTTCCCACAGGTTTCACCAGTAGCTGTTTTTTTCTAGCTGAGTGATGTGTAGCCTCTCATAGACGTCATGAGGTGGCTAATCCTGGAATTAAGCAGCTGAGGGTTCATTTTATTTCAGACATTAATATGCTGTAGAGGGAAAATTATGAGATGATGTTAGAAGACCTGGGTTCTTGTCTTTGAACAGGCCACTCAGTCTCATTGAGCCCCAGTCCTGTCTGTAAATTTAGGCTGATGGGGCTGGTATTGTGGGGGCAGCAATTTAAGCTTCCATTTGTGATGCCAGCATACCATATGGCATCTTGCTTGAGTCCCAGCTGCACTGCATATCATCCTGCTCTCTGCTAATGCACCTGGGAAATCAGCAGAAGATGGCTCAAGTCCTTGGGCCCCTGCCACCCATGTGGGAGACCCAGATGGAGCTCCAAGCTCCTGGATTTAGCCTTGCCTATCCCTGACTGTTGTGGTCATTTGGGGAGTGAACCAACAGACCTTTCTCTCTTTGTCTCTCCCTCTCTGATACTCTGCCTTTCAAATAAGTAAAAATAAATATTTTTAAAAATAATCTAGACTGATAATCCCTGTAAAAACATCTAGGTTTGGACTTTTGCTATCTCATGATTTTGTTTAGATTAGCAAAGCCAGCATTTCAGAAGTTGCTTCATTTCCACCTAGGTATTAATTAAACTACCACTCAGTGCCATTCTCATGGACAGTAGTTAACTGGGTCAACTATTGGCACACA